GCATTTTTACATTTAGTCTAATAAACAATTTCAAAAACATGAAAAATAGAGATAAAGGTCCTAAAAATATGAGCGGTAGCTCATTCGATTCGAAAGCACCTCTAGAAAAATGTTTTTGAAGAATTTTGGTGCAGGTAAAAAACTGCAATTGTTATTAACAAAATAAGATTTGAAAAAAATGGTATTTAGTTTTTTCGTTAATAACTCAAAAAAATAATAATATTTGAGCAATTGGGAAAAGAGGTTGTTAAAGAGGAGGAAATTTCCGATGGAAAAGTCTCGACTCCCGAAACTCTATCTCCATTATTTATAATTTTAATTTGACGTTGATCGTATGAAGTATATATATCGAAAGGGTTCCACGAAGTTTAAAATTTATAATTCTAAAGAAATGAACTTCAAACGTTCAAGCCAGTCTCGAATAAACCTAGACAGTAGGTTAAATGGACTGACGCCTATCAGAAAACAACTACTCCCCTGGCTAATACCACGAAGGGCGTTGGATTATATCAGACAGGCGTCAGTGCAGGAATCTTCACAGAAAATGTCCTGCTTATGCAATTGGCAATACAATTGAAAGAGTCGACCTTCAATTTTGGAACGGGCACACTTGCAGACCGGTTTCGGGCTCATTAGCCACTCATCAGTGCAAGATAGTGACCATCATCGACCTAAAGTCAATGATATTCCATAATTGAAAATCGGAATTTTTTCAGAGTATTTTATGCCTCTTCCTAAGATGGAGTGAAACCACAAAATGTCACTGTCACACCACTTTCGTTAAAAATGAACTGATTGTGAGGTACAGAGTCCAATATTTGATAAAAATATTTTTGTTTGAGTTGCTTCAAACTGAAACACCTAGTTATTTATATAGTTTATTGAGCAGGCATTCTGATCTTCATATGGTTAATTTGAGAATTAACTCATTCAACAAACCTAGGCACCGTACTTCCAAATTTCAAAGATGTTTTTCTTATATAGTCCCTTCTCATCTGATTGAAATTTTATGAATTGACCAAAATAATGTTAAGAATATTGAGAGTTATTAGCAACTATATGATGTATTATTTTTTCTCTTCTCTATCATTGTTATGATAGTAAATAAGTATGTTTGTAGTTATACTCACTGTATAATTTTTGGGAGGGGTGTAAGATAGGCTTTTATGTATACATGTATTTTTATGCATAATAAACGATATTATTATTAATATTGATAGATGTAGCCGTTACTACGTGGTAGGAGATCATAATGAAAAGAGAAATGAAAACTTCTATGTTTTTCATCACTTTTAACAACTTAAAAGTGGTAAAAAACATAGAAATTTTCATTTCTCTTTTCATGATATTATTATTATTACTTCTGGAACCTCCCTCGTATACTATCGAGGTTCTCAAAGAAGAAGTTGAACTTTCCACATCTCCGTTTCGGCTGTCGCTGCATTAAGTGAACACGAGTAGGTCCTCTCGCTAAAGTGTCATTCTGAAAATTTAAAGTTCTGAAAAAGTTTTAAAATGACATCATTTCTTCAGGTAATACATTACCTAATTGAAACACTCTCAGGTCAGATCGGAACATGAAAATTGCAAACACGTGTTTTGCTATACAGTAACTTTCTCAAGCTTTTCCATACTGTATTTCAAATATATTCTCTTCGTTCGTTTTCCACTAGGAATAATAAACGAAAACGTGATGGAAAAAGGAATTCGCCGGAAGGTGGAAAACATTGTCAGCCCGTTACGCCCCTGATTCTGGCGCAGAGTTTGGTTGAGAGCTGATTCCTTGCCGACAGCGAGGAGCATTCGGTTAATGTCATTGGAACACGAGGTCATTCAAGCATTCCTCGAAGAAGGGAAATAGGCAATTGACTTTTCAAATCGGCACTTATTTAGGTGGAAACTGCTAAATTCCATTTGTGCTCGAAAGAAAACCTTTAAATGTTAACCGAGATGTTAACGCATAGCGTGAAAGAATGTCTGGAATACAATAAATGGATTATGAATGGTGGGAGAAAATTAACTCGGTTAGGGATGCGACACTTTTAAGGACGAGAAAAAGACATACAATTTTGAACACTTCATCCGTTGATTGTGTTGCCAATGATATCACTTTTGTTGATTTCCTCAATAAAAAGAGCGATAGCGAATCTTTTCTTAAATATTTTTTTTTAAATAAAACGTTCAACATTTAATTTCTCAATAACGAATGAACCAATTTCGAGAAATATTACAGAAGTAATAGAGAGACAAAATACCTTTCAAATGATGTATCACTCGACCCCCCATGCTATTGAAAAAAATAAGGGGGTTAGTTGCTGACTGCGGAGGGGTGAAAATTCGGGTATGATTTTCATATCACAATTAGAACCCCTAGAGATAAAAATTGACGTATTCTTTGAAATTTTCGATTACACGCCTGTTTCCGGCCAATAGGGAAAGGTCAAGATTATATTCAACAGCGAAAAAGTCACTGTTTGGTGTGGATTTTGGGCTGGCGGCGTAATCGGTCCATATTTATTTGAGAACGAAGTTGGCCATGCCATCACTGCCAGCCGCGAGCACTATGGGTAAACTAACCAATTTTTTTCAACTCAAAACGGGACGTCCATATATAACATACCTATGTATGTATGTATGTATGGTCCATACAGTATGGACCAAACTCCATACTGTATGGCCAGGCCATCACTGTCAGCGGCGAGCACTATGGGTGATTTTACCAATTTTTTCAACTCAAAACGGGACGTCCATATATAACATACCTATGTATGTATGTATGGTCCATACAGTATGAACCATACTCCATACTGTATGGCCAGGCCATCACTGTCAGCGGCGAGCACTATGGGTAGACTGACCATTTTTTTTCAACTCAAAACGGGACGTCTATATATAACATACCTATGTATGTATGTATGTATGTATGTATGGTCCATACAGTATGGACCATACTCCATACAGTATGGCTAGGCCATCACTGTCAGCGGCGTACACTATGGGTAAAGTGACCATTTTTTTTCAACTCAAAACGGAACGTCCATATATAACATACCTATATATATGTATGTTTGGGCCATACAGTATGGACCATACTCCATACTGTATGGCCGGGCCATCACTGTCAGCGGCGAGCACTATGGGTAAACTGACCATTTTTTTTTCAACTCAAAACGGGACGTCCATATATAACATACCTATGTATGTATGGTCCATACAGTATGGACCATACTCCATACCGTATGGCCAGACCATCACTGTCAGCGGCGAGCACTATGGGTAAACTGACCATTTTTTTTCAACTCAAAACGGGACGTCCATTTATAACATACCTATGTATGTATGTATGTATGGTCCATACAGTATGGACCATACCTGTATGACCAGGCCATCACTGTCAGCGGCGAGCACTATGGGTAAACTGACCATTTTTTTTTAACTCAAAACGGGACGTCCATATATAACATACCTATGTATGTATGTATTTATGAAGGGTCCATACAGTATGGACCATACTCCATACTGTATGGCCAGGCCATTACTGTCAGCGGCGAGCACTATGGGTGAACTGACTATTTTTTTTTCAACTCAAAACGGGACGTCCATATATAACATACCTATGTATGTATGGTCCATACAGTATGGACCATACTCTATACTGTATGGACTCATCAAAGCACCTTTTAATAATAATAATAATTCGTCTTCATTATTTCCAATATTAGCTATTTAACAGTTTAATACAATATTTTTTATTACAGGAAACTAAAAGGCGAAGTTCAGTTTACTCTCAAAGAAGGAGGGATAAAGTGTAAAGGTGACCTAGTGAATAAATGCTTGTGTTTTTAAATAGTTTATTTGGTGAAAAAGAAGCTGAAAAGTTGCCCTTTTCTGAGCTTTGAAGGGCTGTAACTTTTTAAATAAGGGAGAGCGCTGCTTTTTGCTTTCGGATTCGTAATCTACGCATCAAAATACGTATTACAGTCAAAAATTTTTTCAAAATCGCCGGATATCCACAAAACGGAAATTTACCAAAAATGAATATATTTTTACAATAATGCTTTCGTAATTTAAAGGTAGGCCGTCTGCAGCAGATTGTATAGCATAGTGAATTATATGGGCTTCACATATGATATTGATCAACGGTTTTTTAGAGATGATTCAAGAAAACGGGACTATTTTACGTCCCAGGTCATTATTTGGGGACCACGGGACAGATGGTCGAATAAAGGGACAGTCCCGTTCAAAACAGGACGTTTGGTCACTTTAACTATGGGTGATGATTACCGATTTATTTTGGCATAAATTGAATGATCAGGACATCAACGACATGTTGTGTCAATAGCACGGCCTAAGTCAGACACAGCTCATGTCACATTGGATATTGTGCTCTAATCTCTTCAAAAACAATACCGTCTCCTATTTAAACAAGGTTCGCATGGCCCAGATTGAATGAAATGAGCCAATAAATGTCACCACGTACTGTCATCGTGTGACATGAATAAATTCAACTCATCCATGACATAAACTCGTAATGTTTTGAATGAATTGAATGCTTCATCTCAAGTATCCAGTTGATGATGGAATTTAATGATCGAAACGTCGCATTGCAAACTTTTTTATATCAGATATGATATGGTGGCGCTAGAGTGGAAAAACAAAATAAATTAGACAACCCTAGTGTTTGGCGAATATTTCGAAAACAATCACCGATATTCTTGATCTAAAAAGAGGATATTCTAGTTCCCCAAAATTGAAAACTTTTGTGAAACCCAACCGACCGTGTAAGTCTTATCGTTTCCGAGATAGCAATAGTGGAATCAGCTGAAAAAATCGCCCTGTATACCAGTCGGAAAATAAAATCAACCGAACCCAATCTCATTTGAATAGAGGCCAGGGAAATATGAGCAACGAGAAAATACGGCCGTAGTTTCACAGAGTGCGCCCATTCCACATGACAATTTACCTGAAGTAATAAAAGTAGTAGGAAGAAAAGTACTCACCTCGGAGTTTCTGAAGTTAATATTTGTCCGAATAGTTCTTTGGTGTAGGGGTTGAACGGGACGGGCGTTATTTCCCAGGGGAGCCTTCGGCGCCTCCTCAGATCCTTGCATTAATTTCCGCAATGAGTATAGCTGAAACCGAAATATTTTTCAGGTGGAAACAGGAATTCTTGTGGGTAACTTTTGATGGAAATGGAGGGTGACTGAATTCGCTGAAGTTTTTCAGGAAAAGCAGTCTTTGGGAGTTATGTATCGTATTGATGGAAGGCGGTTTCACTTTCAATTTGAACGTGAAGTTTAAAATTGAATAAGAATTTTATAGGGCCGGGATAACTACCAGGGTGTTTCAAAAAGTTTGCGACCTCAACATGAAGATAGTATCACTGGTAAATGAAAGCTGGTAAAATTCGTTGTTCATCTGTTGAGAGTTACAATTTCTACTTATTTTTCTTTTAGTTGTAGCATTCTCTTTTTGTAACTAATTATACTGTTTTGCATATAATTTCATCAACACCTTTGTACATTTCCTGTAATTGGGTGAATGCCTGTTGGAAATAAAGTGATATCTATCTATCTATCTATCTATTACTTGACAAGCAGAACTTTAGGAAAAACGGCCACATTTGCCATGGTTTCACCAAGAACTGCTTGACCATCCGCCTTACTCACCAGATCTACCCCCAAGCGATTTATTTTTGTTTCCTCATCTATAGCAAAACCAATAATGATTGAGAGTAAAGCGCATTGCCATATCTAAATTTTACGTTACCAGTTTATAGCAGAATCAAAATATAGTAAGCAGTAGAGATGTAGGTTGTGGCAAATTATAGATAACACACAATACTAGTACGATTAAAAGGTATTATTTATGACAAAAATCAGTAATGAGCTTGTAATGAGTAATACTTATACATTTCCTGATTACTGATCAGTTAAAATTCATTATTTTCTGTATAGTGTTAGATATTTATTACAACTAGTGGCAACGCTGTACGCAACGATATTTCTGTCTTTGTCACTTTACCGTAACTTCCATCTCATCGTTGCAGTCCTCACTAATGTACTTGCAGCCATGAGCGTATCATTGGTTTGTGAATTATACAGCGTGAATTGTACGTTTTACAGTTAAGTTAGTCAGCAATCGACGTGTTGTGATAACAATTGGTGAAAATAATAGTGCTAATAAGTGTTTAAGCATTACATAATTATATTTCTACACCGTTCTCAAACTACTCAAAAAATGGAAGTCATGGTCGGGCCTTCCACGTCGAAAAAGGTAAAACGGTCGGAGTCTCGGTCAGTAAGAGAAAAACAAATTGTACTGCGAGTATATCACTGTCCTGAAAGAGATCATCAGCCACCAAAAGATGACTTTGTGCATATGTGCTGTAATTCTACGTGTGTACCTCCGAATAACCAACCGGGCATTTCTACATCATTAAGTTCCACAATTACAAAATATAAATTAGTTGATATGTGCTCTGATTATACCGGTGTACCAAAATCATCGATTTACAAAATACTAAGAGAAGCAGAAATTCATGGGGACGTACAAACGCCAAAAACTAGTAGCGGACGAAAAAAAATCACAATTGATGAAGAAGCCAAAACCAGTATACGCAGAACTATTCACAGTTTCTTTTTCAGAAATGAGCTGCCCACACTACAAACAGTTCTGGAGGCACTTAGCGATCATGAATAGGTCCCAAAAATGGGTAAAGAAACTTTTAGGAAACTTGTACACGAAATGAAATTTACGTACGGAAAAGTTGACAGGAAAAGCATTCTCATTGAACGTCAAGAAATAATAGCATGGAGAAGAAACTATCTAAGAAAAATTGACGAATTTCGGAAGCTCAAAAAAAACTGTACTTCATGGACGAGACATGGGTTAACCAAGGACATACGGTCAAAAAAATAAACTGTTTTCTTTGATAATCATGGCGTGTGCATCACGAGTTCTTGCCATATGGCCGTATGGTCTTGGTCTTGCGCTTATGCACCGCTTGAGAGAAGCCATACGAAGGAAATGTTCGGTATTGTGGGAAAACCAAACCAATACGATTATGCGTCTGCCCACTCGTCACTGCTTGTTCGTGATTTTTTGGCCAAAAACAATACCGAATTTTACCTGTCCCCAAGATTGAAGAGATCCATGAAAAGAAATTGATGAATGGATGGATATTTTTTTAAATAATGGAAATTCACCTTGTTTTTCGAACAGAGCAGTATGTTACAGAAATATTGCAAATCAAGGTCTGACCCGACAAGTATGAGAAGGCTTCGAATGTAGCAGAGAAAATTCTTGCTTCAGTTCGTTCAGTAGCAGAAAATTACTGAAACCAATCGAGTGATCACCTACAGAACACTTTCGATGTATTACTCCCTGCCAGTGTCAGATCAATGATCACTTATGGTGCAATTGCGTTAAGAAGCCGATTAGTTTGTATGGTGAGTGGTTCAATGTTTGTTTGGTGAAGCCTAAAGCGATGCCAATGATATGTTCTGGTACGATGAAGCTGCTTGCAGCACTCTCCTTTGCAAGGCAGTCAGCAGCCTCATTGCCTATTCCAGGCCAGTATGGTCAAGAATCCAGACCAGAGACAATCGTCTGACAATTTTCCTACAACACCACAATATTTTGAGTGAAAGCCAGTTTGGTTTTGAAAACAATAAACACACACACGATGTCATTTTTTCGTTTCTTTATGATATTTATTTCAAGTTTAATTCTGGTAGTGTAGCAGCTGCGGTCTTTTGTGATCTTTCTAAGGAGTTTGATTGCGTTGATCATAAGATCTTGCTAAGAAAATCTCACCAATACGGCTGCAGAGAAATGACGCTCAAATGGTTTGAATCTTACCTTTCATGAAGGAATCAAATGGTAAGAACTTTTAGACTTTTAGAAAAAAAAAAAAAAGAGAAATTTTGTGTGGTGTTCCACAAGGATCAGTTTTGGGACTCATCTTATTCGTATTATATGTCAATGACATTGCAAATTTGAGCATTTCTGGAAATTTCACTCTTTTCGCTGATGACACTACGATATTGTGGAACAACAAAAACTCAAATGATTTACACAATACAATATATACTGATATGAAAAAAATCAAGGAGTGGTGTGATGCCAATTTGCTATCCTTCAATTTCACTAAAACGAACATTTTATCATTTGGATGTGCTCTTGATGACCTGTGATTCGGTGTTAACTTAGTGATCAGGAAAATGAGACTCAATCTAAATTTGTAGGTATTCACATTGACAACAAGCTCAAATTTATTGAGCATATTAAACAACTTGTTTAATATGCTCATGTTATGCTGGATGTTATGCAGTGAGAGTAACTTAAATAAATTTGGGAATCAAAACTGCCAGAACGGTGTATTACGCTCTCGTTGATTCCCACCTACGTTATGGAATACCGTTTTGGGGAGTATGCAATTTATGAGCACTTCTGTCTGTATTAGTACTGCAGAAACGAGCAGAAACGAGCAGTTGATAGTATTTTTAAACAAGTCTGTACACAACCATGTTGAGACAAAATTCCGATATTGAACTATAGTGTATATTCTAACTTTACTTTTTTGTAGGTGTTTTTATATTCACATTTTATATTTCTACACTTACATTTGTATGTACTTCTTACAAGCTTTGTCCACAAGATTTATTCTTAATGACAATAAAGTATATTATTATTATTATCAATCTGTTAAGTCTTTCTATCGAGGAGAGTCGTTTTTGGAAATTTGCTACCAATTTAGACGTTGCTCGGTAAAGCCAAGAGCTTCCATAGGTTCCTAGGCAGCTTGATATCTCTGCCCTGGGTCTGTTACTGAAAACATCTGCACCAAAACCGGAAGATGTTTTTGATCCATCTGTGAACCAACAACTATCTGCTCTTAATATTTTCTTTCCTCGGAGGATCCAGTCCTGCCTACTCGGGAACCATTATAATTATATGAAAGGAATAATAAAATCCACACCAATCAAATATAACGATTAATGTGAAATGTCTCAGAATGTCTCAGAAATATTAACGTTGGTATAACTTGTCATAACCAAAGATTTATGTTCGTTTCAATTGGTGTTGAACAAATGCATTTGATCTCTTTGCAACTCTGTAAAAGCTACTCAGTCTTCCACTTTTCCATTGTTTGTATGAATTGAAATGATTATATTTGAACAAGACAAATGAACGTTATGTACCTCATGCTTGGTAATATAAATGGGCTTATTAAGGATGATCCAAACGGTGGTCTCCCAACATCCGGGATGCGTCGTCGAGCCCTCGTACGTCATGAAGTGTTCTGTGTCTGGCAGGAGACTTCTTAGGGATAGATGTTTTATGGGAATATAGGCGCCTGTAACAAAAGAAACACTTGAGAAACAGGAGTCAAAACAGGGTCATAAAATATCTGGAGGATTGATTTATGGGGATGTTTGTCGCACAATCGCAATGTAAGGCTGACAGGGTTTTGTTATGATTATATATGTATCTTTTTTGGGATTAGATCTTTCATTGTGAGTTGGGAATTAGTTTCAGACTCACAACCGCATACTGATTTATCAGTTAGTGAAGTATAGTAGAGTAATGTGACTCACACTTGGTATTACTTTCTAGCTCAAACCATCAAGTAGTATTGCATTTTCAATAGTAGAGGTCAAGTGTAGTAGCTTTCATATTTCACTCAGTAGGTAAAAATCTACCTTATTTTATCGTTTCAGCATTTGTTTGACATTTGAAAATTGACTGACACTGGGTAAAGTGTAAAAATGGTTTAATAAATATAGAACTGGAAATTGTAAATATAAATAATACGAACAAGAACGACCAAAAACTTTCTCTACTTATATTAAGGAAAACGCGACTTATGCCAAAAATATTGTCTTATGTTTCTCTCGAACTGTTCAGAGTAAATTTTTACACTCATTCTTTTAAAATCTTTGTTCTTTGTTTCTGTACGCGATTGTTCTGTGAAAACTGTTAATTCATGAAATATTTTCTTGAGTTGGCCAAAATATTTTTTATTTGAAGATCTTTTTTTATTTTATATTTGCAAATATAATCGGAATAGAAATAGTTTCGTGGAGTGGTGATGATCAGGAAGTTTTCTCACAGCGGGAACAGCAGTAACCCGTTGTTGATTTAATAATTGAACATCAACTAGTTTTCCTAACAACCAACAATTTATTTCAGTTACTTCGAAATTCACATTTTTTTATCCATACAATTTTCATTGCTACATCTTTGCTATCTGTTTCAGTTTTACAACATATCTCTCATTCATAATTTCGTACAAACTTTTCTAACCTCACTTATTTCTATCAACATGAATTTCTAACTATCATTTCATCATTCCCGTATCCAAGAAAATATTTTTCAATCGAAATTCCTAAATTTTCATAATTTTAAAATTATACAATCAGTTTATGTTGTATCTTTTCATTGTATTTATCAGATATCACTTTTATTCCTATCGATAATAATCACCAACCTTTATCGATTGACTTTTACATATAATCTAATTAATTTTGGTATAGAAGTGTGTAATTTTGAATTGACCGCTTTCATGAATGTTTTTGACAAGTCTCTGGAATGTTACACTCGTACAGGGTGATTCATCTGTACTATTTAAAGGGTGATTCAATTTTAATTTTCCTGAGATGTTAAAATGTTCTTCTTTTATGATTAGTCACACATATTACTATTGGTTATATTTCCAATGTGCGAATAATTCAATTGTCCTTCAAAATAGATAATTGTTGTCTACTTTTATCAACTAGATATCGTTTTTGTTTTCGGAAGGGTTATAGTGTTATTAGTTGAAGAAAATACGAATTCAGATTTGTTTACTGCCAGTCTTCAAGGATAGCCTACTGACTAATAAAAAAAAAACGAATTAGTGGATTATTTACTGTAGACTTTTCATATTTCGAGCACTCATTTGATTTTTTCCTTTGTTTCCTTTATTCTTTTCATTTTCGACAAAAAGAATTGGAGAACAAAATATGTCATGTACAAGTTTTATCTCGAACTCATTCGGATACTTTAGTTTGTGTTTGTGGACTCAGTAATGGACTTACCGGTTGCCTCATATTGCACTTCAACGAATATGCTGTTCAACGTTCCTGCCTTCTGAAAATCCACTTAGCCGATGTTGGTTCAGTAATTAGAAAGGCCGGAATTAAAGGCGTTGCATGAGAGCAGATGGGTGCATGAGAGCTATGAAACTGAGTGCAGTTTTCGAAAGGAAAAATCTCTTAACAGTCATTTCGAATTAAATAGTAATTGGTTCGAATGGAATGTTCATGATATAATTGTGGAAAAGTGATCTGGAAATAAAATAAATAGACACAACAAAATCAACTCAAAGTTAGGATTAATTTCGAATCAAATAGTAATTGGTTCAAATGGAATGTTTATGATATAATTGTGGAAGAGTGATCTGGAAATAAAATAAATAGACCTAGAAAATTAACTCAAAATTATGGAAATAATATGCAGGTTCGTAAAAATTTGGTGCCTACGATTTATTCAGCCGCTGCCAGCAGAGCAATCATAGCACTGTTTTATATTTGATATATATTAGCTTGTTTCAGGAAATTTGTCTCCTCCACTGTCATATGTTTTTGTAGCTCTAGTGAACTATACTAAAACAATGAATCAGACTGACTATCTACCAATTAAACTATATAAACTTATGCCGGTGGAATGGGAGACATTCACCACAAAAAAATGGAACACTATTGAAAAAAATCACTTCTTGTAAATCCAATTCATGATATTTAAGATTTTTTCTCCCATATACAGGGTGTAACTGAATAAGTGTAAATCATTTGAGGAGGTGATTCCTCATCGAAAAAAAGATATAATCTTTCATATAAAGAAATTTCATTGGAGCATCTAGAAGATATGCTGAAATGTATTCTCAATGGCAGTGATTGAAATTGTGAGGATGATGTTCGACTAGGCCTTGGGGGTCACCTATGATTGAAGAATAATGACATCTATCGCTGTTGGCTGGAAGTGTTTTATCGCTGTAAACCTCTGGTTTTCAATTTTTCCATCATTCCATCGATTTGAAAGAAATCATCACCATAAAACTGTATTTTGGTGTACTAGCCTTCAATTTTCTCATCTTTTTATTGGTTTGAAAAAAATGACCGTAGTAATGCGTTATCGGCATTAATGTTTTGACTGAAGGACAGTAAATAATTTTGCCTTACTTTGTGAAGGTTTTGAAGATATGCATTAAGGCAATGAAGTGGCATTATATCCCAATTTATATTAAAATGAAAGAAAACAAATACCTGGAGAAGGATGAGGAAAAGAGGAAATAGAAGTGAGTTGGTTATAGAATTGAATTTTATTGTTTTCAAGAAACAACAAAGGATATATTGTGAATTCAAAAGGTCTCAATGTCAACATCACTCTGATACTCACGAATGCCAACTAATAACCAGTCTACTCTATTACTGTCACACTTGACACTGACGAATACGGACAGGAAACTGAATTGAAATCGATAATTACATATCATTAGTGAAATCCAAACAACGACACCAACAGCTGTTATCGGTTACTATGACGATGGCATATCAGTATATCTATTCCAAAATTATTGTTCATTTCAATATGTCAATTATTCCCAAATATACGAATAGTAGTTGTTCCATCTTCAACATTTTTATTTGGAAGGCTTTGATAAACGAATTCTTCCCTGAAGGCGAATTGTATTTGTATCACAATTAGGTAGATTCGGAAGAAGTAACAGGATTTTCATAATATACAGGGCTTCTCACTTGACCTCTTGTTGAAAATATGACACGAAGTGTTCCTTGTATTGATTCCATAATTTCAAGATATCAGAAAGTACAGAAAGCCTGCAATAGACTGATATTCAGCTTGAATTGAAGAGATAATGCGACCCCTTCAATCAATCAATTGAATTGGTTAAAAAAAGCATTCACAAACTGATAAAAAAACAACAACCCATTTATTCAGTAAATAAACCAAGAAACCTTAGATTCAACAATGATTTTGACATTTCGAATCAAAACGGCACTACCTATGAACGATCTTTCACGTATCATGCCGTATTCAGTGAATGTTTGATAAAATTAATCACTACCGCTATTCAAAAATAAACTTAAAACTGAATTGCTGAGTCAACAGTGATCCAAATACAAACTATTGTATTTCATTTCACTGTTGTCCTGAAATTGCCATATATTTTTTGTAATGTTTCTTTTTTTTAAACGTGGTTGGGTGGAAGAATAGCGATTTGCCGAACTGTTATAATCTTTTGGAAAAAAAAAGATTTTGGCTTTCTACTTCCCATCTTCATAAAAACATGTGGGAATCTTCCAAAGGAAGGAAAAATCCTTTTGATTTCGAAATAATCTGTAATCCAGTTTCAGTAAAGTCGTATTTCTAATTGCTTAATCCAAATAAATAATAAAAATTGCACAAAAGTCAGTGGCGTACATGTTTAAGTCAAAAATATTCGTTCAAATCCCGCTCGAGACGCCACTGGACTCAATAAATTGAATCACTTTCGGGCTACATTAGCTCCTTAATGTTATAAATACCATTGCCAAATCACAACAAAATTAGGTAAAGGATATTCAAGATATTTACGAAAAACTTTTTTTTAAATTTTCATTTCAACACCCTGTATCTTGAGAACGAAGGATTTGCGGACCCATGCTTATATGAACATTTCATCTTGAAATTACCTAAAGAATTGTGTTACATTTATGGTACATACTTAATTAACACCCTATATAATGGACAGCCGAAGCTACTGAACCTAGAATCTTGAATCATGCAGGTAGGTTTTTTGTATAGCGTAAATAAGGACCAAGAAAGGAAATCAGGAATTTCCACCCCCAAAGAGAAAAATTAGGGTTCAAAGATTGTGTTGTTATATAATTTTTGCAGAAAGTGGACACCTAACTTCTTATAAAACAGTGGGGCGATGCAAAAACCAATATTTCCTAATATTATGCGTCCAAAATGGCTGGAACGTTGGTGAGTAACTGTCAACAGACTAGCAACGAAATTCATTTGCTTTCATTTACGAGTTGCCATCTTAATGTTGAGGCCGGAAACTTTCCAGACTACCCTCGTATATACACCTTCATGTTGTATTTTCCATATTTAATGTGGGTTCTGGTGGCGAATGAGAATTTAGTAGAACCGAAGATAGTCCGCAACAAGAGGAAAACCGCGTAACGGAGATAAATACAGCAACGCGCCGAACTGCACCGCTGTCGCGCATTTTTATTTAATTTTAATGCCTCTGATAATTAAAATGGGGTTTATTTTAGTGTAGAACCATAAATCTCCTGCTGGTAT